AGTTGGACCTCCAGAAAACAAAATTGTGTCTCAACATCTACAGCAGAAGCAGAGTATGTTGCTACTGCTAGTTGTTGTTCACATGTTCTCTGGATGAAGACTCAGCTTAAGGACTATGGTTTCTATTATGACAAAGTCCCAATCCTTTGTGACTCCAAGAGTGCCATAGCAATCTCTGCAAACCCAGTACAACATTCCAAGACCAAGCACATCGATGTAAGGTACTATTTTCTAAAAGATAATGTTGAAAAAGGTAACATAGAAATGTATTTTGTTCCCACTGAGATTCAACTTGCTGACATTTTTACAAAAGCACTTGATGAGAAACGATTTTTATTCCTAGTCAGCAAGATGGTATGTTGAATCTCACCACTTAGAGGCAATAATTATCTTTAAACCAACAATCTTCAATATCTCATGGTTATGCCTATAAGTGATATAACATCTTAGCCATAAATTCCAAGTATCCTAAACCAGAGCCTCTGGTCATAAAGACCAGAGCCTCTGGCTGTTTAGAATAACTTCGATTAAAATATGGCAAATATTGTCTTTGGAACCAGAGCCCCTCTGGTCCAAAGCAAATACTCGATAATTTTTTTTAACCAAGTCTTTTTCTCCAAACCATAGCCTCTGGTCTCCAAAATTTTGAGACGTCCCAGTCTCAAACCTTGGACTCTCATTCATCTAAATCTCATTCATCTAAATCTCATTCATTCTTTCACCTTTTGGAACCAGAGCTCCTCTGGTCCAAAGCTTATGCCTAGTTCTCGTCACTAAGTATAACTCACCAACCAGAGCCTCTGGTTCCAAAGACCAGAGCCTTTGGTTTCCAACACACTACATGCAAAATTTTCTTTTCTTCCAACCAGAGCCTCTGGCTTTAGACTCTTTGCAACCAGCGCCACTCTGGTTTCAAGGAGTTTCCTTTTATCGTACTCCACATGGCCTTCACCATTTCCTTCCTTTTTAACATTCATTGCATTCACAACCAGAGCCTCTGGACTCGCAATCTTTCTAACCCTCCCATCACATTCATTGCATTCACAACCAGAGCCTCTGGTTCTAAAGACCAGAGCCTCTGGACTCGCAATCTTTCTAACCCTCCCATCACATTCATTGCATTCACAACCAGAGCCTCTGGTTCTAAAGACCAGAGCCTCTGGTTCTAAAGACCAGAGCCTCTGGCTTTGTTTTCTTTGCCACCAGCGCCCCTCTAGTCTCAAATACCTCTCTACATTTCCACTTAGCATTTTTTTTTTCTCATCTTTCAAAACCAGAGCCTCTG